CAGGTCCCTTTCCACAGAGCTGCTCTCTAGCCAGGTGGATCCCAGTCTGAGCTGCACTCCTGGATTATGTTTTCCCAGGTGCAAGACCTTACTCTTGTCCTTGTTAAACTTCATAAGGTTCTTGTTAGCCCACTCTTCCAGCCTATCCAGATCTTCCTGTAGGGTGGCTCTCCCTTCCAGAGTGTCTACTTCCCAGCTCAATTTGGTGTCACCTGCGAACTTCATCAGGCTACGCTTGATCCTGTTATCCAGATCACTTATGAAGATACTGAATAGCGTTGGGCCCAATATCGATCTCTGGGGGACCCTGCTTGTGACGGGTTGCCAGTTTGAAAAAGAGCCATTTACCACCACCCTTTGGCTGCGGCCCGCCAGCCAGTTCTCACCCACTGCTCTGATTTATATGGTTAAAGTTGCCACTGAACTGCATCTTCAAGACTAACTTAACTGGGGAGCATAGGTGGGAAGGGATGAGATGAGACTGTGTTTTCTGACAGGTTCATACACACAATATGAATAGATCTTTGTTATGTCAAAAGAGTAGGCAAAAAAAAAAAAGCGGGGGGTGGGGTAATATATCCACAATCCAGATGTTAATGAAAAAGCATCTATGTAGAAGGACTGACGAGGGAAGTTATGTGTGGGAATTGACTATTTGATGTGTAGTCTGGTCAAAAGAATGGAAGGAAATGCAGCTACAGTTCCACATGATTCTGACTCTGACTCAGTCTGACTCCTACCTGCTGACCCTTTTTCACTGTATCAGCTCTGCCACTTTTCAAAACCTTCATTGACCTGCTTTTAAGGTAGAATCAGATGAGTATTGGAATAAAGGAAGGCAGCAAAGATGACAAGGAATGACTACATCAACTGTTAAATAAATAAGTTTGGTCTGCCATGGAACTGCATCCCAGGATGTGGGGCAGAGTGACGTGAGACAGTGACCCAGTCCCACAGCTCATCATTGCCCCCATGCTGTCCCATTCCCCCTACCCCGTTGCCCCGAAATCTCTTGCTTTTTTGCTCTCCTCTCTGTTCCTTCCACTTTTCAGCCATGTTATTCTGTCCTTTTCCTTGTATCTACGCTGGCTCTCATCACAGTTTTTTTCTGATTCAGCTCATTAACTTAGTAGAAGATTATGCACTTTTTTTTCTACCTCTTTTATTTTTTTTTCAGGCAGGTTAATGAGTTGAATCGACTTCATGGAAGGGTCTGGCAAACATTACAGCTGGCACAGAACAAGCAGCAGCCTGACCTAGAAGGGAGGGGCTTAAGTTGATATAAGTTCATCTTTAGTATAACAAATATTTTTGTTTTAGAGCACACAGTTAGCTGAATCAACAGACTGATTTAGATACAAAAATAGTTATGGGGTTTTTTCCTTCTTTCAGAGGAAGGCCGTGTTTTTAACCTGTATTATGTTTCCCTGATCTGGTTCACCAGCACAATCTTTTGTGTAGCCACGTAATTGAGGAATGAGCAGGAGGAGGTGGAGGCTACTTTTACTGGCAGAGCTGTCAAATTAAATGTTTATTGAAATACAGTCTGAATTAAGTCTTTCAAGTCAACAGTGCTTTCCTGTTTTTGCCTCTTTTTTTTGAGGCAATTATCAAGTTTTTTTAAGGTAGCAGTATTTATTTTAAAGTAGATTGGTTTGATATATACTACAGGTCAGGAACAAGTGTCTTTATTTAGGTTTATATAAATATCAGTGCTATTCTATTACTGCTGTCTGCTGGTGTTTATTCTGTAGTTGATGAAAGCAAGAATGCTAACTGAGGCATGGAGGCATGCATAACTCCCCACATAGAACTGTTTCACTCAGAAGGCTTTTCGTTTTGTTTTCTCCCACAGCTTTCCATCTACTTTCCTCTCTAACAATAATCAGTCTTCCTCAACTCCTGTGCAGAGTGTTTCTACTCCCTCAGTCTTGGCCTCAGCCTCTGCTTCGTTGCCTTCAGTAAGCAATTCAATAGTTACTTCAGGCATCAGTGAACTGAAGTCATCAAGTGGCAACAGGAAAGCTAGAGTTCTCTATGACTACGATGCTGCAAACAGCAGTGAATTATCACTACTTGCAGATGAGGTAAGAGTTTTCTATGTACCTTGATCATTTAAAAGTAAAATCAGAATGCTTGTGACTAGCCAGTTAAGATGTGCTATGTCAAGAAATCTGTGTAGTTCATTTTTTCAATAGTACTCTTAGAGCATTGTCCTGTACCTATATACCCTAATATTCTATAGTGAGACTTAACATTTGTTACACCAGTTTAGCTTGCAAGAATATTTGCTAGACAATCAAGATGAAATTCTGCTGTCTTCGTTTTACCACACCTTTAGCACTGTTATCAATACAATTAGTCTTTCAAACATTAAATATTGGAATTTGGGAAGAATATGAAAATACAACCACTTCTTGTTTTGATGGTGGTGGTTGTGCTGTGTTTATTGCTGTGCCAATTCAGTTGCACTCTAAAGTCAGAGAGCCTATAGAAAGCAGGTGGAGATATACAATGAAGCAGGGTGCTGCAACAGAGTTCCACCTAGTACTGTGTCTGTAGCTTAACCCTGAAGAAGAGCACCCACAAAAAAGTTTTCAGCCTTTTTTTTTCAAAAGTGTGTGTTATTTAAATATTTCTATTTGACTTTTTTCTTATGTAGACAATGACTTAGAAGCTGTGGCCTAAGTTTTTCTGTTAAAATGTAGCACATCAACACCATCTGTCTTTCTATTGTGCACTTGAAGATCCAACAAACTTTCTTTCAGATTTCCTGTTAAAGTTGATGGCGATCTACAAGATTTATAGATAAAAAATAGTAGAAAAGAAACAGTAATGAATACAATTTCATCAGGAAAAAAGGGACTTTAAAATATGCTACTATATCTACTTCTTTTCCATTTATCAGTGAAATAATTTTTATGAGCACTAGATTATGTTCCATGGATGCTTATATTAAATGCTCTATTTAACTTGGTTAATCTCAGTTCTAAGACCTTGGAAATCACATGGAGGTAGACTGTAATTTTTTTTGAGGCAAGGCAAGATTATAATAATGTGTTTCTGTTTTTTAGGTGATAACAGTGTACAGTATCCCTGGCATGGATTCAGACTGGCTGATGGGTGAAAGGGGAAATCAGAAAGGCAAAGTGCCTATTACTTATTTAGAACTGCTAAACTAGATGGTTGGCCTGAATAAAGACTGGCAATTATGGCAACACCATATTTATATACAATTAATGTTATGTAAGCAGGTTTAAGTGTCTTCCATGTTATTGTCTTGAGGGACAAATACCAGCCATTACAAACTGGCTTTTCTGCCAGCACGGTTGCATGGTAAATATTCTATTCAAACTTAATGTGTTTAAAGCTTTTACTTCATGTGCCAAGAACATGTTTCCTACAGATTTGTTTCTACTGAAGTTTTCACTAATACAAGCTTCTACTTTTGAGTAATCTAGATTGAAAGCAGGAGGTACTGTTTTCTACTGAAATTTTTCATTAATGGCAAAGCTTTTCTTCACATAAAATAAACTTATTGTGAACTGATGCAGGTGTAATGCATGTTATTTGAATAACCAAAACCAAACGTGAAACATAAACCTTAAAGAAGTCCATATGGTTCTGTTCCCAACGCTTGTGGAATACAAATGTGCTGAGGCATATATGGCTATCTTCTGAGTAACTTGTGCATTTAATCACCTTTGGAAAATGAAAACAGTTGGTTTATCTCTGTTGAAAATTTAAGGCAAATTGCTAGTATGTTGAGATTCTAAACTGCACCTAGGTGGATTGACATAAGCTAGTGACACATGTTCTGACTTGTTTTTAATCTTGCCTTGTATTTTTTTCCCTTTAATTGCTTTCCAGAAAAGAGGCTAATTCAGTTTGATTAGTAATTATTAAGATTCTTTCAACTGCAAATCAGCCTTTATGTTAAATTAAGCGCTGCATGTTGCTAACCAAATACGCACTCTCCCTACATTTAAGTAGTTCTATAGATGAGCATACATTTGTTCAGATTATAGGTTTTAGTGAAAATCTGCATTCACAATTCTTATGCAACAGTTTATTGTCATGTTCTAATTGGATTCAATTAGCGTTACACTTTTTTTGTTTTGCAAGAGGACCTTCTTCTAAATATGTGGGAAAGAAAAAAAAAAGTTTTTAACCTAAAAATGGCTTTAACAAAGGTAGTATTATTTGCAAGTAACATAACTTTTTCCTAAACGTTGCACCCCTTAATGTTTCATGAATAGCAGATTCTTAAGGCTGTAAAAAGATTAAAAGGATAGATTGAGGGGATTTTTTTTTTTTTTTTGAGTTCCAGTGTATTTAATTAATTGCGTTGGTCTGGTTGAAGGAAATTCCTTCCATGGAGAAGGAAATTATTCTCCTTGCAGAAGATGCAACATTGACAGAAGTCCACTTTAGCTCTCAGGGAACACTGGTACCGGGTGCTTAGCTAACCGCTTCTGATCAGCAACTTTGTTTGCAGTGACAATTCTTTAAAGAATTTTTAACATTGTCATTGCAAACATGTAGTGATGAAACTTTCAGTGATACAGATTACTTCAGTGGGATGGATAACATTGGATTCATTTAGGTGATGTGGTTGTTTACTTAAAAAGTGATGATTTTTATTTTGAATTGCACTTTCATTTTTAGAGTGCAGAGGTTACACTAAAACAAATACATTGAGTTGGTTCATCAATTGCAACCTTCTTGGGGTAACTACCAAGAAAATCCTAGACTTATTCAGTCTGTTACATGCAAAGATTAGAGGAAATACTAGTAATAAATACTGATGAATTAGAAATAACCATGAATAATTCATGATGCATTAAATAAAATTAATAAGAAGATAAAGCCCTACAGTTTAGAACGAAAAAGACTGAACACTTTAATCGCAGTTGTGGTCTTCTCCAGGCCTCTCTATTGTGAACTGTCATCACATGTGTTTAAATTCAAATTAATATTATTCATTCAACTTAATTTATAGAATATTCAAGAATACATATGTAAAATAATTTAAAAATGTAATTGAGTCTTTGCTGTACTGGACCGTTTCCTATTTAAATGCAATAAAATGTTATAGAGCAGCATTTAAAAAGATGGTGGGGGTTTAGTGAAATATAAGTAGTACAGCTACGTAAAGGCAACATTTGGCAGCGGTCAAAATTACTTTTTGTTATATGTCAGCAGCTTAAGCAATGTGTGGGAGAAATTGCAGCTGACCCCTTAGTCTAACAAGACTGCAAATCCGTATTCACGGTTCTCCCTGGTTTTGTTTAATATCAAACCCAAAGTAATTTTTCTCTTAAGTAAAGCAAGTTGTTACTGTTTTCTAAAACCCATCTGTCTTGAGGTTCTCTGTTGTGCTATTAAGAAGGGAAGGTGGTAGAAAAGCGCTCATTTATCACTAGTATTAAATTGAATAGAACTTTATTGCAGGTAGTCCCCAAACTCAGCCTCTTTGAATGTCATTTTGTGGGGAATTTTCAAACAAAAATTGATTGGACTTCTTTGGTATGGCTTTCTGACTCAATAATTTTTGCAACAAATACGAAAGTAACTGAAGCTGGCTTTGGGTCTCTCATTTCTTCAGTTAATTCCCTGTTTTCATAGAACAAGCTTTATTGGTTGAAAGAAAGGAAAAAAGGTAAACCAGGCCAGAAAAACCCTATCTGAAAGTTCCAGACATTTGGGAAATCAGATTTCAAACATGGAAGAAGGCGTAGAATATGCATTACCTTATATTTAATAACTAGTTTGGCAAGATAAGTGCATTCTGAATTGATAGCTAAGGATGTGTACATGTGGGGATAAATACTCTCATTGCTGTTCAATGCATGCCTTTTTTTCTATATTTACTGGCATTTTACTTCATTTTTCTAATTAATGCTAAGAATTTGGACAATTTCAACCAGAATAGCCATCCCATGTACGCTGTAACAAACCCGAGTGAGTTTTCCTCAAAGTTATTAGCTGGGATAATATACAGCGTCATTAGTGGGAGTAAATGAGTGCTTTTAGAAAGTAAATACTAGCTTCAAATAGTTTCTACCATAATTTCTGTTTTTAATGCTTTCTTAGTCAGGCTAAGCTTGAAAAGTAACTCCTACTGATTCTTAACAGAACTCCTCTTTTGGACTTTTTGCAAACCATGAGATTTTTATAATTGTTATATTGCTTCTTTTTCTTTCTAGAGTAGCGTTGTATCTTGGAACAGAATTCTCTACCATATGGAAATTTTGGCTACAGGTAAAACTATCAGTATATAGTGTCTTAATGCAGGCAAATGTGTGTGGGAAGGTGGAGGAAGGAAAGAAGTATATCCATGAAGCACATCACTGTGCAAAGATACTGAACTTAGCATAGGGCTCTGCCCGAAGTAATTAGTTTTCTGAAATGCAAGCATATGCCCACAAACAGCACTGTGTTATTACAGCTCTACTGCCTCTGGGATTGGAGCTAGCATCTCTGGATCTCACATACAGTATGTGAATGTATGTATGCTGCCATATTAATTCCTACAGTGTCACGAGCTCAGGTACCTCTATAATGTGCAATTTATTGAACGTTATGGAAGTTTCAAGAAAGGATAGAGTTAAGCCCCTATATTCTAGTTGTCAGGATATCCCATACCTTTAAGGAACACTGTAAGGAGAGTGTCTGTGTTGTTACAATGCAGGTGCTGTAGCAGTTGACTAAAGCAGTAATAGGAAGATTTGAAAAATACAAAGTTTAATAACTGTAGGTGCTCTGCTAAAGCAGAACTTGAGAGAATTACTTACAAGCTGCTTAGGCAATGACCATCAAGTCCACATCCAACAGAAGCTTCCAGAAGATGGCTGTGATGTACTGGGGGAAGAGAGGCAATATGGGAAATGCCCAAATGTGAAACCTAAAGATATTTTGACAAAACCATGGAAGTAATTTGAGCTTATGTATATGCTTAGCATATGGCTTACAGTACGTAACTGCTGAAAAAGTATAGGTGTATTCTGGAACAAAACATTGGCAGAATACGTGATAAGAGTGATTCGGATTAAATACTTACATATAGTAGTTGTAGCTTGAATTTTTTGGATGTAGGTACCCTAAGTTTGGCCACAGGATGCAGCTTCATAATTGCAATTTGCTGTATTGTTCTCAGTAGAAGAAATATACATGACAGTTCCGCTTATAAATATGGCCCTGGGAAGAGGTAGCATTAAAACTGGTTTTGTTCTGCTATCAATAATCCATTTAGAGTTTAATCTGGGAATTAATTATAAGGCATCAACAGATTAAATGAGATTAAATAGAAATCAGTTAATTCCTGAGTGTTTAATTATCAGCACTGAATAATGGCCTCTTAGATCTCAACTCCGTTCTTTTTGGAAGATTGTGCAAGAGTGACCTGAGGTGTATTCTAGGAGCCTAGGTGTGATAATATATGGAAAATTAGTTAATTTGCCTCTATAGTGCTTCAAAATAATTAGCAATACAGAAACATGATGTACTATATGCAACTTCAATGCATCTTTGTAGAATGTGGCTTTCCATATATTACATCTGGCCTTTCTGGTCTCCTTTTAAAAGAATGCTTTCTACCAACCAGCTTCATTAAAGTTCATTCTGTGAGTTTGACAAATGTTTTCTGTCCATCCTTAATAGTTGCACTGATGCATCTGTAGAGCCACTTTTAACACCAATTGTCATTTTAATATCCTATGACAATGCTTTTTACTATTGTCTCAATCAGTCATGCCACAAAATCAGCATCAGAAGTACAACGTAGGTAGCTGCTTTTGCCAGAAGATTATGGTTATGATCGCTTGGTTCCAGCAAGAAGTTTCTGCTGTCAGCAGTCTGTCCATCTGGCTTTTAGACTTGGCAACAACACAGACATTATAATGATGTTCCCTTTCAAGCACAGACATTTGAGAATATATGCTGACTCCAACAAGTACCGGTAATTACACAGTACTATTAAATGCAAGGTACTATGCAAGGTACCCTAGCAGAATCCGCTGGGGATACGGGTTGCTTCATAATGGTTCTGCTCTTTCTTCAGAAGTCATTATACCTTTAAATATTAAGATGTCCATGTTAAAATTTAAGGTTTAGTATGACAAGAAGTCTCCTCTGTATAGAACTTTTGTAGCATAATGCCAGGAATCACTGGAAGATACATTTAAGACCTAATATATTGAACAGAACCAAATTAGTGGTGTATTTTTAGATTAGTGGTGCCTAAGGCCTGGGTTTCTAGGAATCTGTCTGGCCACACTATCTCATCTGTCTTAGAATAATTCTCCTGTTTTTCTGTATATCTGGTGGTACTGAATATAGAGGTGCCTTAAATGTGTATTTTGCTTTGTCTTCCTTTCTTAGCTTACTCCCGGGTCTGACTCTTGCTATGAAGTTGGCCATCAAGGCTTTCATAAAACTCCCCTGCAAAACAAACTCAAGTATTTAGAAGTAAATAAGCAGCTCAAGAAGGCAGGAACTGCTAATTCCTAAAGACTGCAGTATTGGAAGAAAGCCTGAATACAGTCTGT